ATGTCAATCATAATAGCTAACCCTTACTGATTACAACTATGTTCTAGGTACTCTTCTAAGCACTTAACATGCATTATGTCAGTTAATTCTCACCATAATTCTGTAAAGTAAGTGGTTCTTACCACTATTTTTTTTTTAAAGATTTTATTTATTTATTCATGAGAGACAGAGGGAGGTGGGGGGAGAGAGAGAGAGAAGCAGAGGGAGAAGCAGGCTCCCAAGGAGCAGGGAGCCCAATGCGGGACCCGATCCCAGGACCCTGGGATCATGACCCGAGCCGAAGGCAGACGCTTAACGACTGAGCCACCCAGGCGCCCCGGTTCTTACCACTATTATACCCATTTTATAGATAAGGACTTGAGGCACAGAGAAGATGAGGAACCTCCTTAGCGTTGCTTTGTGAACTGCAGAACCAGGTCTCATACCCAGGTAAGTTGCCTCTAAAGCCTGTGTGCTTAACTTTACCCCATACAGGATGGGACTTGGGAATTGCTTTTCTGTCCTGATCTTATTGGTAGAATTTCCACATGTTTTTACCACCCAGGGTCGGCTCTGCTGTGTTCTGTAGAAGAGGAAGAATTTTTCCTTTACCCTTTTAGGTTCTTTTGGTGGGTCTATTAATTACATTGACATAAAACACACTTAACAGGAGAAAAACAAATCTAATTACATATGTACAACAGCCCCATGAGAATATGAGACCCACAAGTGGTCAGGCAATTGAGGCTTATATGCCATCCTGAGCTACGGGGAAGGGGGTTGGGGCCTGAGACTTTACAGGGGAGGAAGATAATTTACAGGAAGATGGGAAGAGCAAATGTTTCGTAGGCAAATGTTTGCCATGGCATGCAGAGACAATGGAGCCAGAAAGGAATCTGAACAGGCCCTTGAGCTTCCCATAGCTACCATACTTAGCTCATCTTCTTTGTAGTTATCTCTGATGATAGTTCTCTTCCTGGACTAGGCCCTCTATCTAAATTATTTTAGGCAGTTAAAGGAAAGATAAAAGCTTTTCCTTAGCCTTTCAGGCCTTGATTGACTTCAGCTCAAATTAATCCACAAGCCAAAAATGCACATTTTGGGGAGGCTCATTCTGAACCCCTTCAGATCCATCTAAACAGTGTCTGGTTTGGGGACCTAATCTAGGGAAATGAACCCTTTACAGATAAGCCTTAACTCCACCCAGTGGTCCAGAATACTGAATTTGGAGCTCTGTGCCACAGGTGCTCTAATTAATTAGTCGTATTTACTATTATCTAATAAGAACCATGATTTTTGCTGTGGGATGAATTTACCCATACAAAATTTGGTTTATTGATAGGTGGTGCTGGATTTCCAGGGGAATACCTGGTGATCTTTTCTTGGAAGCAGAGCTCCCAGGGCTGTCCCTGAAATCCCTGTTTCCAGCCCTAGCACTCCAGTTTCACTTTTAGTTACATTGGGAAAGAGAGAGGAAGGGAAAAGTCCACTCCCCCCCAGTCACAGCATTCCAGGGGTAAACAATCTGTAAAATCTTTTCCCCACAGGGGGATCTGGGCTCACAGACATAAATCTCGAGACTGATCTGCATTCCAGTTGCGAGGGGCCAAGGCTTAGGAATTACTTCTCATCTTACCCCAGTTTATTTTTTTATTTTTATTTTTTTTTAAAGATTTTATTTATTTGACAGAGCAACAGCGAGAGAGGGAACACAAGAGGGGGAGAGGGAGAGGGAGAAGCAGGCTTCCTGCTGAGCAGGGAGCCCAATGCGGGACTCGATCCCAGGACCCTGGGATCATGACCTGAGCCGAAGGCAGACGCTTAACGACTGAGCCACCCAGGCGCCCCTACCCCAGTTTATTTTAGAATTAATAAATGGTAAGGATTTTTGTGGCCTTTATTTTGGTTCAGAATTTAAACTTAAGCTCAAACATTTCTGAGAAAGACAAGTCTGTCTTTTTCTAAATATTTTCCAGAGGACAGGGCTCCATAAGATTTCTGGATATGGTAATTATCTCTTCCAAACATCTAGTATAAATATCCCTTGTTTTATTTTATTTTTTAATATTTTATTTATTTATTAGATAGAGAGAGACACAGCGAGAGAGGGAACACAAGCAGGGGGAGTGGGAGAGGGAGAAGCAGGCTTCCCGCTGAGCAGAGAGCCCAACGCGGGACTCGATCCCAGGACCCTGGGATCATGACCTGAGCCGAAGGCAGACGCTTAACGACTGAGCCACCCAGGCGCTCCCCTTGTTTTATTTTAAATCCATTCACTTTGAGCTATTTTTCTCCATATTAAAAAAGTTTCATCCAAGATGTCTTCATGTGTACAGTTTTTGGTAATTCAATATTCTCACCTCCACAAGCTTCAAGATTCACCTCTGAAAAGAAGAGGTAGGAAGCAGATCTTTTTTATTTTTTATTTATTTTTTTTTAAAGATTCTATTTATTTATTCGTGAGAGACAGAAGGAGAGAGAGAGGGAGGGAGAGAGAGAGAGAGAGAAGCAGAGGGAGAAGCAGGCTCCCAAGGAGCAGGGAGCCCGATGCGGGACTCAATCCCAGGACCCTGGGATCATGACCTGAGCCGAAGGCAGACGCTTAACCATCTGAGCCACCCAGGCACCCGGAAGCAGATCTTTTTTAGGTTAAAACCATCCACGGGGACAGAGTGGCACGATGGTTAGATGTCCAGACTGTGAGATCAGTTAGGCTTCACCACTCGTAAGCTGGGTGACCCTGAACAAGCCAATTAATTTTTTAAGTCTCAGTTTCCTTATCTATGAAATGAATCTAATCATAGTAACTTTCTTACAGGAGTGATGTGAGAATTAAATGAGCTTCTATACATAAAGCACCTAGTTAGGGCTTGCACTGAGGAAGGGCTCAGTAAATACAAGTCTCTCATTATAACATCAGAGATTTAGTTACTTGCCCAGATTTTGCATGTAGTGATGGAGCTGTTAATTCAAGGAGGCATGGTTCCACCTAACAGGTGTGTAAAAATACTCTGGATATAATGTTTGTTTACAAAGGATTTTGATTATGGCGTCTCTCTTTTGGTTTCTGAGCCCGGGACCAGTTGGTTTACTTATAGGCACATGTTTTGAGATAAAACTGGCTCAAGGGAAGAAGAAATTGCTTGAGGAGACATTTAATGTCCCAGGGAATCAAAACTTGGATGCCAGGGCTTATTAAAGTAAGCCTAGAGCCCTCAAAGAGAATCTTGTGGCTGAAACTGGGGGCACGCTGTTAAACTTCATGTCAACCTCTTTCCTGTCTTAATTCAATACGCATTTTTTAAAAATTTTTTGATTTTATTTATTCATTTTGAGAGAGCGAGAATGAGAGAGAGCGCGAGAGAAAGCACACGAGAAGGGGGAGGGTCAGAGGGAGAAGCAGACTCAGCATTTTTTTTTAAATCCTACTGAATGCAGAAACCATACTAGGGGATATGTATAACACAAACCTGAAAAAGATTTTTTTCTCTTATTTAGGAAATCGCAGTCTAATGCAAAAGGCAGATACATACGACTCAAATTGTAAAAAGTTCAACAATAGAATACAACAATGAACCAATACTTTAACATATAGGCAATATTTTATAGTAAAAAATATCAGACTTTGGAATCAGCTCTGAAGTTGGCATGGCAATTTAGCTCTGGCAAATTTCAGTCCGTAGGCTTCTTTCCCTACTGGTAAAATGAGGGTCATCATACTTAGCTTTATTACAAGATTGTCCTGAGGATTACTAATAATGTCATAAAGTTCCTGGTACATAGTTGCTGCTCGATAAACAGCGAAGGAAGGTGAAGCAGGGATGGTTATCCCTACTTTTCAAATGAGGAATCGAAATCTCAACGAGATTAGGCGATTATTCGAAAATCACCAAACTAGTAAGTGAAGACGCCAGCCCAAATCCTAAATTCAGACCACGACTTTTTAAAAACTCCAACTTTCACCTATCTCGTACTTTCCTGTTCAAATGCATTAGGGAGAATGCGGAAGATGAGAATAAGCAGTCTTGACCTTCGGAGAGGTGAGTTCCAGGAGTAAAGGAGCACCTACAGGGAGCGCCGGGGAAACGGTGCAGAATCCTCCAGGGCTAGGGGTGGGTTCGGTAAGACTAGAGTGAAGGCTCCACCCACGCCTTAGAGTGCGGACTCAGTACACAGCGGAAGGCTGTCCTCAGGTAGCCACCGAGAAGGCCATTTAAACAGGAGACACCTGACGCACGCCGGGTCCTCTCCTAGACCGCCCAGCCCATCTACGGGGGCGGGGGCCGTCGCGCAGCTAGCCTATTATCACTGCCGAAGCCCACGAACTCTCTTCCTCATTGGCGAGCCACGGGGTGACGTCACGTTCTCCGGACCCGCAGAGGGAGAGGGCGCCATGATTGGTTGGCGCTGGGGCGGCGGGCGGTGGAGGACCTTGGCTAGTCTGGGTTTCAAGCCGGTGCTGGACTTTCCCCTTCCATGTTCCGAGGCCGTGGGGGACTGCAGAGGGCGGGGAGTTGGCTCGGCGGAGACCTGGATTTGGTTCTAAGAGCTTCGGGGTTGAGAAGGGGTGACCGGAAGTGATCGTGGGACTGACCGGAAGCGAGGCCTGGAGGGGAAAGAGAGAGCGGGTCCCTGGAGGGAGGGGGGCTTCCCGCAGAAGGGGACCGGGGGAAAAGGTGCGAAAGCGGCGTGGGAGCGCCGGGTAGGCAGCGGGTCTCTGCTGCTGGTCTGTTTGGAAGGCAGCGAGTGACCACCACGAGCTCGAGGGGAGAGCCCAAGGATTGAGAGTACGGGAGTCCAGGGCTGCCTCGGGGGAATCTGGAATAGTTAAGCAAAGGGGCCCGCGCGCGGCTCCAGAGAGCTGGGTGGGAGGGATTTTGGAAGTCGAGGTAGGAGCTAGGAGCCGAGGGTACGGCAAATTAGTTGTGCGGGCAGTGCGGTTCGGGCTTGGGGTTGGCCGGTGGGAACTGCGTGGGAGATCTTGGTTTGGAGTTTTCGACAGTCTTGGCCCCGTTGGGTAGAATCACACTACTTGCCTTTGTACAAGAAACGGTGTCTCCTGGGGCAAGGAAGGAGCCAGCATGGCCTGGGCTCTGAAGCTGCCTCTGGCCGATGAAGTGATTGAATCTGGGCTGGTGCAGGACTTTGATGCTAGTCTGTCCGGGATCGGCCAGGAACTGGGTGCTGGTGCCTATAGCATGAGGTGAGTGAGATTTTTCCCAGACCCTGCACCTTCTAAATAACAAAAGCAGGAGAGAGAATGGGCGGGGGGTGGGGATGGGGGGGAGGTATTTAGTTAAATAAGCTGTCTGCGGTTAGGGAACATTGACTTGTTTCTTTGTTGCTTTGAATAGTGACTATTGTGGAAGAAATGGAACAAGAGATTGTAGGTAGTGTCAAGTCTGTGCAGGATTAGTGGAAGAAGCAAGAATGGCCCTTGTTTAGCAAAACAGATGAATGTTGAGAGGCTGTTTGTTGTGCCAGTGTGGGAGACTTGGGGACCGATGGTGTGTGTGTATGTGTGGGTTAGGTTGGCCTGGAAGTGTGTGAAGGGGCCACATTGAGCGTGTTAGGGATGTCTGGGGAGTTGGGAGATGGGGTTAATGATGAATATTGGTTGACTGCTTGTTGGAAGGAAATGTGAGACCTTGGTGAAGAAGTCCACACATCTGCCTTAGCCAGCCGTTAAGGATTAATTGTGGGATGTCTGCCTTTTGAAACAAACTACAAAAAGAAAAAGTATCGGAGAACTTTTAGATACTTCTAGACTTTGGTGTATCAAGTCAAATGTTGATAATAAATAAAAATCTCCTATGAAAGTAGCATAACTTCCCATGTAGTTTATTTGCACGCATTAGCTACTTCATTCCCCCAGTGTAGTTTGTTTCATTTATGAGATGTACAAGAATTGTGTCTGGAAATGTTGAAACATCTGCACCTTAGGGTTACATGGAATATAATTGGGTTTCCAAATGCATTATAAGGCTCAGTCTAAATAAGTGAGGCAAAAGAGACTTTAGAACATCAGTTTGAATTTATGAGTTTATAGGGGAAAGATGTTTTTTTTTATGGGGAAGGTAGACAAATTTTGTATTCTGATAGTGAGATCCTTTGAGAATTATGTAATGTAAAATTCTTGTCTTTATGCCTGCTACACCAAAATGGATTTTCCTCAGTGAAGTAAATTAATGAGTTAGAACTTAATACTTCATCTTCAGGAATCTTTGCTTACAGTTAGAATAATAAAGGCTATCCTTGCATACATATTTTGGTGATTCTCAGGGAAATGTAAGCGCTATCATGCAATGCTCTTAGCGTTGAGAAATTTAACTCTAGTTTTGCCTGTCCTTGTTTACATAAGTCTGCCCTTAAAAATAGAGATTATCTTCGTCTGAAAGTAAATGTCCCAACCCTGAGCTTGCAGAGCAGTTGACATAATATTTGACAATTCATGCTGTTGTTCATGTAAAGACTAACACAGCAAAAGTTTGGTTTTCTCTGGATTATCAGAGGATGAAGATAATTAAATATAACTGTACTTGTTATAAAAATAGTTGACATTGTCAACAAACATTCTGTGCATGTTACGTGCTTTCCGTACCAGGCAACCTTAAATTTAAAAATGCTTTCCTATGTCATACCCTGAGGGGTCTTCACTGGTATTAGCACAATGGTTTGTGTATTTACACATTTAGAATTTTTTCCAACATCGGTTCTTCAAGAGTTTTCAGACATGACTTTGTTTTCCCTAGAGCACAGTGTGCCAGAATTTGAAGTATTTTTCTTTGTTTTTTTCACCTTCCTCTTTTTTATGCATTTTGCTCTTGTCACTCTTCTCTTGACTCTGATACATATTTAATCATTTGTGTTAACTTGTATTAATTAGGTATCAGTTCTCAGACTTTGTGTTCATGAGAGTCATGCAGAGTACCCATTAAAAATAGTTTCCAGGGGCGCCTGGGTGGCTCAGTCAGTTAAGCGTCTGCCTTTGGCTCAGTTCATGATCCCGGGGTCCTGGGATCGAGTCCCGCATCGGGTTCCCGGCTCTGCAGGGAGCCTGCTTCTCCCTCTGCCTCTGCCTCTCTCTCTCTCTCTGTCTCTCATGAATAAATAAATAAAATCTTAAAAAAAAAAAATAGTTCCCAGGGTCTCATCTTCAGTGATTTTTCTGGGGCACAGGCCAGAAATCTGATTTTTAAAACAAGTTCTTAGATTTTGATGCAGGTAGTCCAACAACCACATTTTAAGAAACACCGACTGGAGGAGTTTTCATACACAAAAACAACGATTCTTTGCTCTTTGTGTTTCTCCCTTTAATTAAACCTCGTAATTAATTTTCCTACACCTTTTTAGGGAAGAGATTCTCTTTGACAAGCTATTTGTTTTGTAAAATATATTCCGTAATGTATTCATTTTACCCTAATTTGCATTTTTTGCTGCATCTTATAATCAAATCTATTGATTTATATTTTATAAAGATTCATCTTAACTGCATTTCTGTTTTGGACTCTTGATCTGCCATTGTATTCAGTAATGTTCTTTTTCTAAGTGGCTCTTTTTTCTTTTTTCTTTACATTTTAATACATGGAACAAATTTTATAGTTAAAATAAAGGAAATTCCCTGAAAACATGCTAAGTAAAAGGAGCCAGTCACAAAAGACCATGCAACATATGATTCCACTTTTATGAAATGTCCAGAATAGGCAAACCTATAGAGACAGAAAGTAGAATAGTGGTTGACTAGAGCCTGGGGAAAGAGCTAATGGGGAGTGACTGCTAATGGTACTGGGTTTTTTGGGGGGAGGGGGTTCATAAAAATGTTCTAAAATAGTGGGGTTGATAAAAATGTTCTAAAATGGTGGTGAGGGGCACCTGCCTGGCTCAGTCGTTAGAGCACTCGATCTGGGGTTATGAGTTTGAGCCCCATGTTGGGTATAGAGATTACTTAAAATGCATACATTCATATATGAAAATAAATTGTGATAGTTGCACAATTCTGTGACTACACTAAAGACAACTATACACTTTAGATGCGTGAATTGTATAGTATGTGAACTGTATCAAAATAGAGCTGTTATTAAAGTAAAAAAGGGCGCTCTCTCTCTCAATTAAAATCTTTTTTATTTTTTTTTTTATTATTTACTTATTTGAGAGAGAGAATGAGAGAGAGAGAGTACATAAGAGGGGAGAGTGGGAGAGGGAGAAGCGGACTCCCCGCTGAGCAGGGAGCCCCATGCGGGATTCGATTCAGGGACTCCAGGATCATGACCTGAGCTGAAGGCAGTTGCTTAACCAACTGAGCTACTCAGACGCCCCTAAAATCTTTTTTAAAAAGTAAAGAAGATTGGGGCGCCTGGGTGGCTCAGTCGTTAGGCGTCTGCCTTCAGCTCAGGTCATGATCCCAGGGTCCTGGGATCGAGCCCCGCATCGGGCTCCCTGCTCCACGGGAAGCCTGCTTCTCCCTCTCCCACTCTCCCTGCTTGTGTTCCCTCTCCCACTGTGTCTCTGTCAAATAAATAAAATCCTAAAAAAAAAAAAAGTAAAGATTAAATTTTGTTGTTTAGTTTGTTTATTTATGGTGGGCAGCAAAGCAAGGTTTATTGAGAGTACAAAGCTCCTGAAGAGGGAGGGGCCCCAAGAGGGTTGCCTAAATTTTGTAGTTTAAAAAGAATTTTCCATCTTTCATTTTTTTTAAAATTTGAGGTGGAATTCACATCATAAAAATTAACCATTTTAATGTGAACAATTCAGTGTTATTAGTATATTCACAATGTTGTGCGACTACCACCTCATCAGGCCAAAAGAAAAACCCTGTACCTTTTATGCAGTTGGTCCCCATTTCCCCCTCCCCTTTCTCCCTGGCAATCTGTCTATAAGGATTTACCTATTCTGGATATTTCATATAAATGGAGTCGTACAATGTCTGACATTTTGTGTTTGGCTTCTTTCACTTAGCATCATGTTTTCAGGGTCCATTCACATTGTAGCATGTATCAGTACTTCAGTATTTCATTCCTTTTTATGTCTGAATAATCCATCATATGTATATATATCACAGCTTGTTTATCTGTTCATCCATTGGTGATGTAGGGATTGTTTCCACCTTTTGACTATTATGAATAATGCTAATGTGTCATGTTTAAAAAGGAGATGACTATGAAATGTTTATAAGCATTTGTGTGCAAATTTCTGTGTAGATTTCTTTTAATTGAGTTATAATTGGTATATAACATTGTATTAGTTTAAGGTGTGGAACATAATGATTAAATATTTGTATAAATTGCAAAATGATCAGAATGATAAGTCTAGTTAACATCTTTCACCATACATAGAAAAAATTGTTTTCTTGTGATGAGAACTTTTAAGATCTGCTCTCTTAGCAACTTTCAAATATGCAACACAGTATTATTGACTATAATCACCATGCTTACTAGACATATGTTTTCATTTCTCTTGGATATATTTCTAGGCCTGGAAATTCTATGCCTAACTTTTTTATTTGTTTATTTCTTAAAGATTTTATTTATTTGAGAGAGAGAATGAGAGAGAGAGAGAGCATGAGAGGGGGGAGGGTCAGAGGGAGAGGCAGACTCCCCACTGAGCGGAGAGCCCGATGTGGGACTCGATCCCGGGACTCCAGGATCATGACCTGAGCTGAAGGCAGTCGCTTAACCAACTGAGCCACCCAGGCGCCCAACTTTTTTTTTTTTAATTTAAAGACTTTTAGAGCAGTTTTAGGCTTACAGAAATACTGAGAGGAAGGTACAAAGATTTGCCATATACCCCCTGCCTCCACACATGTATATTCTCCCCTTTTATCAACAGCCTTTACAAGAGTGGTCCATACTCTGTACTTACATCAATGAACCTACATTGACATATCATAATCACCCAAAGTACATAGTTTACCTTAGAGTTCACTCTTGGTAGTATACATTCTAGAGTTTTGGACAAATACATAATGACATGTATCCATCATTAGAGTATCATACAGAGTATTTTCACTGCCCTAAAAATCCTCTGTGTTCTGCCTATTCATTCCCCCACCCCCACCCAACCCTGAAAACCCACTGATTTTTTTTTTTTTTTGGTGTTTCCATTTTTGCCTTTATAGAATGTCATATAATTGGAATCATGCAATATGTAGCCTTTTCAGATTAGCTTCTTTCACTTAGAAGTATGCATTTAACATGTCTCCATGTC